ATAAATAAATAAATAAATAAATAAATAAATAAAGGGTTAGCCAGGCACTGAGAGACATGCCTGTAATTCCAGCTACTGGGGAGGCTGAGACAGGAGGACCAAAGGTTTGAGGCCATTGTGAGTAACTTAACAAGACCTTATTTCAAAATAAAAATTTTAGAAAGAAACGTAGCTCAGCCTCCTTGGATTTAATCCTTAACCAAGCCCCAGAACTGGTCCAACAAAATTGGGAGAAAACCATATGATATCAATTATTTTAAAATGTTATTTTCTTTAGGAAAATCTTATGTCGTTGGTGTCTTGAAAGTAGATCACAACTGGGGTTTTAATCTTTATTTTCCTTTAATTGGTACAATTATAGAAAATTATTCCTTCCTGTTTAAGTAGCTGGAACTACCACAAAGCTCCAGGGAACTCAATAATACAGTTCTTTTGTTTTATAACTTAAGAAAACTCACTTTTAAAATAAGAAGTCTTTAGCCAGTTATTACAAACAGGTATAGAGATGTGCTAGAAATTGACAAATACTTTCTTTAGCGATTAGAAGTTATGTTGTTAAAATATATAGTTCGGCTCCAAAATTACCCTTTAAAAACTGCTAAAAACAAATGAACTCTGTTAAAAGTATATTGGACTTGGACATTTTAAAGTGTTGATGTAAGTTCCAAGCAGGAGACACATGGATATTGTTGCCATAAATGAACTGTTATTCCTTTGCTCATATAAACAAAATCTAGAACATAATTTAGGAAATGTTGACCATAATAATAAAGAGAAGCTGTTTATATAATCTTTAAGAAGCCAGAATTATTAATGTGGTCTTTATAGGAATTTCTTTCTTTGAAGACTGGAAATAGACTATTCCAGTTTGTTTTGATTATGTTCCAAAAGTGCTAAGCATACTCATCAGGAGTTTGGGGGAGGGAGGTAGGGGTGAATAGCTAGAACAAGGGATTTTTTTGGCAGTGAAATTACTCTGTTTCATACCGTAATTGCAGGTACACATTGTTATACATTTGTCCATACCCATAAGGTATTGAACACGAGTGGATTTTAATGAAAACTGAACTTTTGAGTGATAATGATGTAATTATTGATTCAAATGTACTACTCTGGTGCAGTATTCATAACTGTGCATGTTTAGGGTAGGAGTACATAGGAGGTCTATATTTCCCATTCAGTTTTACTGTGACCCTAATACTCTTTACAAAAAAATTAGGAAGGGAAGAAGATATATCTTGATAGGTGAAAAAGTGGCCTCTGATATTTATTTATTTTCTCTCTCTCTCTCTCTCTCTCTCTCTCTCTCTCTCTCTCTCTCTCTCTCTCTCTCCTCTTTCTCTTTCTCTTTCTCTTTCCTTTTTGTACTGGGAACTGAACTCAAACCTTGTACGTGCAAGGCAGTCACTGTACTACTAAGCTATATCTCTGCTGATATTTTACATTGGCTCAAGGGTGGCTTATTGAAAAGTATGATTTCATGGCAATACTAGGTGGTTTCTTTTTTGATTCTACTCATGGCCTATAGGCCAAGTTTGGAAATTCTGAGCCATCATGCTTTACCTTGAGGTCCACTGTTTCCTTTTTCTTGCTTTACCACACTTTTTAAAAATATCTATTTCTAGTTCTTCTACAGATTAGAAGAAAATCTCATGTTAAGTATTTAGTGATCAGAACTAAAGTGAGTCATGAGCTCCCTGTCTCAAATATCCCTAGACATTTTTAATAATAAAAACATGTATGATTATCAGAACCAAGTTTTTCCTATCATTTTCTAAGAGGTATTTTACTATGCTCAGGGTTTTAAAAAAGTTTTATACTTTCTCAACCTAGAATCTATAAGCTTTTTTAATATCTTAAAAAGTCTACTTTACATGTTGTGATGTTTGCTTAGAGATAGTGTCTTTTGTCAATCATCTTAAGCTCAGTTGTTCAAATAGATTGCAGTGTTGCCTTCCATAGTGGAATGTTCATATATGTAGATATTCAGAGAAGCCAGGCATCCTGGTATATTTCATTATAGTAGCAGATGAAGAAAGTAAAGAAGGCTCATTCAACAAAACCAACTATGATATTGATGGAAAATTTCAATGTATTTTTAGTGCTTCTTGCTGGAATTAAAAGAACGGTACCTCAATCCTTGTGTCTATGCCTACTTAGGGAGTAGAATATTAGCATTGTTTTAAGTATATTATCCTCTTTTTAATAGCTCTTTATTTTAATAGGAAATTAGCTTATTTGACACTTAAAATTTTCATTACAGGTTTAAATATTTAAAATATCATACAGAGGAATAAAGTGAATCCTTGTGAACCTACCATATGTTCTCAACCACTGTTAACCTCTTGTCAGTTTTGCCTTACTCATTTCTCTTGCTTTCATATTGAAGCAAGTTCTAAGCATCCCATATTTTAATATGAATTATAGTAGATAATGTGGACTCTAAAACATAACACTTCAAAACTAAAAAAATAATACTCCTTCAAGTCATTGTTAATATTCCTCATTTTCAAAATACCTTAGATGGCTTTCCTTTTTATAGTTTAAAAAAAAAAAATCAGGATCCAGACAAATTCCATACCTTGAAATTAGTAGATAAGTCTTTTTAATTAACAGGTTCCCTTTCACCTTTTTCCTCTTTTGCAATTTATGTGTTGAAGAAACTAGATTGCTTAACATGTTCATAGTCTTACATTTCATTCATGTGACATCTTTACCACATTCCCTTTCCACATGTTCCCTTCCTGCATCTAGTGCTTGTAAATATGTTAGGTATTACAAGGAGGCTTAAAATCTTAGTTTTTTTTGGCATATCTGCTTCATAAAGTGATGCAGTTATCTTACCTTTGGAGGCCCCAATGTGTGGCTTTCTCTTTGTGATGCTGTAGCTAGATGCTTAGATCTCATAGATCATTAGGGGTTGTGGAATAGGATGTTCTCATTTTTATCATTACTCATCTGTTTACTTCTATTAAACAGCTTTACTAAGATACAGTTCACATAGCATTAATCACTCATTTGAAGTGTTCAGTTCAATGATTTGTAGTATAAATACACATGCATCCACATACACTTTTAGAATATTTTTAAGGTTTCACAAAGAAACTACATATCCTAGCTGTCATCTTACCTCGCTCCTCTCCTACTTCCAGCTCCAAGTAACCACTGATTTACTTTTCTGTCTCTATATTCTCATATTAATGGAACCATATTTTTTTGTGATTAACATCTTCACTTAGGATTTTTCCAGATTTGTCTGTTTTAGCATATATCAGAAGTTCATTTCTTTCTATGGTCTGTCAGTATTCCATTGCATGAGTATGTCACATTTTGTTTATCCATTTGTGTGAATGGACATTTGGGTTGTCTCTCCTTTCAGCTGTTAGGAATGTTGTTGCTGTAATTATACCAGTGTGCAGTGTTTTGTATGAACATAGTATTTTCCTTTCTCTTAATTATCTATGTAGAAGTATAATTTGTGGGTCACATTATAAATCTGTGTGTGACTGTTGAGGAATGCTAGATTGTTTTCCAAGCAGCTTTGCCATTTTACATTCCTTATTTATAGTATATGCAGGTTATGATCTCTCTATATTCTCACCAACACTTAACTATTACCTGAGTTTTTCTTGCCATTCTAGTGACTAGTCCCTGAAAAATTAATGATTTTTGAACATATTTTCATGGACATACTGAGAGATCTTCCTTGAAGAAATGTCTGTCAGATCTTTTGTTCATGTTTTAATGGGGTTATTTGTCTCATTATTGAATTGTGTTTATATATTTTAAAGATATAAATTTCTTATTATTTATATATATTTTCCCATCCTGCAGGTTTTCTTTTTACTTTCTTCTGCTTATTTTATTTTATTTTTAGTTTTTTATTTTTTATTTTTCCCCCCATAATTTTATTGGTAAACAAATAGCAATGAGACAGTTTCAAATCAAATTGGTAGGACAGTTTCAATAATTAACACATTGCATACATTCTTCCTAGTGGTTCCTCTGCTTTTTAAAAAAATTAATTAATTAATTAATTTATTTATTTGGTATAGGGTCTCATGCAGCTCACATTGTAGTAATCCTCCTTTCTCAGTCTCCCCAGGAGACTGGGACTACAGTCTTACACCATGGCACCTGGGGTTCTAGGGCCCACATGGCATGAGGTGCTAGGGATCTGACTTGGGTCCTTGCACTTGCCAGACAGGTGCTTAGACCACTGAGCTACCTAGATCTCCAGCCCTCTTCTGCTTTTTCACTGTCTATTTTTAGAAAGAAATTTCTTATTATTCAGATAAAATGGTCTACACAGGGAAGGCAAGAAAACTTGATTCTTTGCCTTTATGAAGCTTCAAAATTAGAAAGTTTTAAAGCATCCTTTCATAGTGACCAGTTGCTTCTTTTAAAAATATTATGAACCTGATAAGTTCAAATTTTTGATGTTTTCAACACATGGTGGCTTTTGTTCTTTTTGATGTCTGGCTGTTTTAATTATCCCATTTTTGGCTAATGAGTCTCTTCAGACTGATTCCTAAGTACTTTTGAGAAACATGAATGTGTCTGGCAGCCTTTTTGCTTTCCAGCAGACGTTTCCTTCTCATCTCATACATTTTCTTTCCCTGACCTGAAATCTGCCGTTTGCCCGAGGAGCCCTTTGCAGATGTAGAATGGGTTAATTAAAATTACTAAAGTCCTAAATTATAAACTGAAACATAAGGACAATTCCCATTCCTCACTATTGTTGGCAACTACATTTCTACTTTTTGGTTTCGATGAATTTGACTTCTCTAAGTACTTCTTCTAATTAGAATCATACAACATTTGTCTTTTTGTACTGACTTACTTTATTTAGCATAGTGTATTGAAGGCTATCCATTATAGCATGACAAGAGTTCCTTTTAAGTTTGAATATTACAGTATATACGTACTACAGTTTGTTTACTCATCCTTTTCTGCCTCCATTTACAGAATTTTAAAATTTAATGATTTGCCTTTTCATTTTTTAAAATCTGAGATGTTAACCATTTTTAGTCAAAAAGGACACATACATACAGTGATGGCAAATCTTTTAGAGCTTTCAATGATAACAAACAGCAAGCTGTCATATGAATACCATAGATTTGCTACCACTGGGCTCATACAGCATTCAAAAAACTGTACAGGGCTGGCCAAATAACTCAGTGGATTAAAGCAAGCAGGCGCAGGGGCCAGGGGTTCAATCCCCAGTCCTGCTATGCCAGCCCCACCTCCGGGGTATGCTGTGATGGCAGTTGAGACTGGGCGTGGTAGCACGTGCCTATAATCCCAGCTCTTGGGAGGCTGTACACAGGCGGATCATTAGGAGTCTGATCTAGTAGTGAGACCCTGAACACCCTGTAAACCTTTCTCTAAAATACGCACACCAAAAAACTGTACATATGCTTTACATGTATGTGTTTGTATTACTCCTTTCCTACAAAATGGTAGAACACTATATATACATGCTCTCCTGTACCTTGATTTCATCACTTTCTGACAGTAGTGTAGAGAAATTGTTCTTTTTCACCATACATAGTTAGCCTATTGTGTGCAAACAGTTTATTCCACCAGTTCCATATTTGTGGACATTCAGGTTGTTTGCAGTGTTTTAAGTAATATAGCAGAAGTAATATACTATACTGCAGTAAGACTTTATATTTTTACAAATTTACCTTTACCAAATAAAATGTCATGAGTGGAATTCTGAAAGGTATGTGGTTTTTGTGTGCTGCTGCTGAATTCCCTTTGGTAAGGGTTTGGACTTTCACTAGTATTTTAGTTAGTAGTATGGTTTTACTTTCATTTTTCTTCATGTGAGCATCTTTTTCATATGCAGAGGTGTTTTTACGTATTTTTCTGTAAACTCATTTCTTTAGTCTGTTTTTTCTATATAGCTATTTTAAAAAAAAATCTAGAGACTTTTGTAGGGGATAGGTATCAGGAATCAAACTCAGGACCTCATGCTTGCCAGGCAGGCACAGTACTACTGAGCCAAATCCCTGAGCCTTTTAGAGATTTTTGAATATGGAGAAATAGTAACCACTTGTTTCTGATATAAACTGTATTTTGGGAGTTTGTCATTATCTTTTTACTTTGTGGTATGTTTTACATTTTAAAGTTTTAATTTTTATAGAGCTTATTTATTGACCCTTCTCCTTACTAAGCTTTTACAGTTTTACATCACCTTTAGTATATCAGTTTTCCCCTGCACCTCAGATAGTTTTCACTGTCTGCATAATTTATTCTCCTTTCCTTTCCTATCAGATGAAAATTTTACATTGTTTGAACCTTTCCATTCAATATACAGTTGTTCTAGGTTATTTTAAGTTAGCAGTTCAAGGGCATTTCTGGATGTCATATTTGGCTTCTTTGATATATAGCATGTATTCGGATTTGTTATGTGCTGTGTCCCTTGTTTTATAACAGGAGTTGGAAAGGCAGAAACATATGTGCAGTGTGCTGCAGCATAAGATGGATGAACTTAAAGAAGGCCTTCGGCAAAGAGATGAACTTATTGAGGTATGCATGTGAACTATGGAAATACTTCATCCTATGCAACTATTTTTTTTCAGAATTGAGTTGTATGCGTTGGGAGGGGAGAAAATTTAAAATACTACAAAGCGTTACTTCTCTTTCTACATTTGGTAGTCTCTTAAAATTTTTCAAACATGAGCGGTAAAGACAGACTAGTTTAATAGAAGAAGCCTTGGTCAAATGTCTTTTATTCCTAAGCACACTCTTTACCCTAAAGGTACCAAGGAAATGGGCAAAAGGAAAAAGGACATACTACCATCATTCTTTGGAACACAGTGAATGCCACTTTTTGGGATATGATTCTTGAGATATTAATAATAAGTTAAACTTTCCTCAGTTAAATACCTTTCTAAGGTAGCTAAATGAAAAAGAAAAAATTGTCAAGAGCTGTACCTATGTACAGAGATGAAGACTGGGTAGTGTAGACATTTAGGCTTTTACTACCTTGTTGGTAATATCTTAAGTGGGATGGAGTTAGTCCACTAAAACTTTTTTGTTTGTTTTTTTGAGACTGTGTAATTCATGCTGACCTTCAGCTCACTCTATAGCCCAAGCTGGCCTTAGACTTGAGACAGTCCTCTCCTGCCTCAGCCTCCTGTCTGGCCTTTTCAAAAAGTATTTATCGTTTTGGTTGGCCTACATGTAGCTCTGTTCTTCTTTAAATGTGTTTTTTCCTCCTGAAGTTGAAGAAAGTCTGAAGAGCATCCTGCCCACTATCTAGGTATGGTTATCAAGGGCTTCTAACATTAGTAATTTTAGTTTTGATGACATGTTAGTGACACTAGGAAGGCCAGCTCTTAATGATCCACAGGATGTAGCTCACCACATTCGTTCACATTCCTGGCAACTCAGACTCTGGTCTTTTTCTTCTTATTTTCCTCTTCCTGTTTGGACTTGCAGTACTTAATTTCTGTCCCTGTAGATGACCTACAAAAACCACTTAAGAAGGAAAAAAATGACTACCTTTTTTTATTTGTGAATTAGTATAGTTTTTATTATTTTTAAGAAAAATTAAAATCATATAGCCAATTTATAGATGCTAAATGCAGATACAGATAATGATCTGTCAGATTATTTGTGAATTCATTGTCCTCATGTTTTCCCATCTGGTAAATTCTGTATCTGAGGGCTACTTAAAAAATAATGTGAAATCTTTTTTGTCCTTTTGTCTTTTTTGTATCAGTATACTAACGACTTTTTATTTCTTACCCTAATTAAGATGAATGTTTTCTCCCTAAAAGATTGCAAACCACTAGAGAGAGAGTATGCAATGTGTTAATTATTAGAACTGTCCTACCAATTTGATTTGAAACTGTCTCATTGCTATTTCTCAATAAAATTATGGGAAAAAAACAAGGAAAAAACCCAACAAAAACAACAACAATAAAAAAAAACTATGAAACCTTCAGTAACTGTGAGCTAAATAAACCTTTCTTTCCTTCATTTTGAGAGTCAGGTATTTGTCCCATCAATGAAAGAGATTTTATATTATATATATGTGTGTGTGTGTGTGTGTGTGTGTGTGTGTGTGTGTAATTTGTATATTTTATATTTCACCCAAGACAATTTCTCTTCATTCAGTGCAGTCTAGGCAAGCCAAAGGTTGGACCTCCAAGAAGTAGAGTCTCATAAAATACCAATGCTTGGGGGCAATCTCTAGAAATTCTGATCCAGATGAACTGGAATGGGATGCTGACATTATTGTAAGACTCCAGTGTGATTCCGATAGACAACCTGGACTGGAGACCCTTGGACCAGGAGCTACAGCATGGCAGTGAATAGCAAAGGCTGCAGGCAGCATCCTCGCCTTGGGACTTACCTAGTGTTGAAAGTGTGAGGTCTAGGAAGCCTTTTGTAAATAGCCTTTATCAAGGGCCCCAGGGAGGTAGCTCAGTAGAAGAAGCGCTTGCCTGGCAAGCGCAGGGTCCTGAGTTCAATCCCCGGTACCGCAAAAGAAAAGAAAAAAAAGCTGATTGTAAACAGCCTTTATCAAACAAAGGCTGTCTTCTATTATATCTAATTAAAGAAATTTTAAATTAGACCAAAAAATAAATAAATAAATAAAGTTTTCAAATAACAGTAAAACTACTTTTGGAGCTTCTCAAATTCAGTAGCTTAAATGAGGTTTAACTGTTTCACTTATTCACACGTTACACTTAGAGGATTATAATATTTGATTTCTATTCTTTGTCTTGTGGCTCCTTTAAAAGCCCGAGGGAATAGAGTATACAAACTTTAAAAACCTTTGTTTTCAGGGCTTCTTATGTTTACAAAAGAGATTTTTTAGATATTAGCAGCCAGGATTACATAGAAATGAAATACCATGAGTGTGACAAATAACACTTTTTGGGTTAGAATTGAAAATTGCAGGCAAAACAGGTAATGTATGAATGGGAAAGGTATGCAGTGGTAAGTTTTTAGTAGTCCACAGGGGGGGAAAAAATGTTAAGAGGCTATAAACTAAGCATCATTGCCCAGTAAGAACAGTTCTTTGAAAATCACTAAATGTTAAATTCCAGTGTTTCTAAAAGCTATTTTTTCTTTTGTAATTTAGGATGTTCTTGCTATTATTATAGATTCTCTTATTATAGATCCCTATAAAAATATACATTGTTCCATGTTTGCAAAGAAAAAAAAGTGGGGAGGTGTCTGTGAATGAAGGAGTACATATGTGGAGCTGCATGTACGCAGAATCCCTGTCTGGCTTGCTGCCACATAGCTGTGGTCGGAAGTTAGTTATTCCCAGTCCCTTTGCTTGCTTTCGCATTTTTCCCCTGCACTGCTGGTGATAGAACCCAGGGTTTGCTCATGCTAAGCACATGTTCTACCACTGAGGGACACACCCACAGCCTTCCTAGATTATTTTTATGGGGGCAAGCCAGCAAAACTTATGTCGCCAAGACTCTGAACATAATCTTTCCTTTAGCAAACCACTCTTTTCTGTTTATCACACTTTCATCCCCCCTTTTTTTTAAGTTTTCAATTTTTATTCTATTTTCTTTCTTTTAACTTCCTCTCTTTTTTTATTTCTGTTCATTACTTTTCTTACCCCTTCTTCTGCAGGAGAATCAGCGCATGCAGCAGAAAATAGACACCATGACAAAAGAGGTGTTTGACCTCCAGGAGACACTTCTTTGGAAAGATAAAAAAATTGGGGTATGAGATGAAGTTTGGCTTTCATCAGAAGCTCATCTAGAAGGAACAGACAAATAGAATTTAACATAGAGATTTCTAAAAATCTGTCCTTTTTAGGCTTACTATGCATTTATATAGTGTGAAATATGAATAAAAGACAGGGACTGCCATAGGAAAACCTGATAACTATGCTTGGAAAGATCTCTTCTTTCCAGCCAAGTCAGTGTTTATAAAACCTAGAACTTTCAAAGGAAGTTGTTTTTTATGCCCATAGAATTCTTATCCAAATGCAGCCACAAGCATTTAATTTGAACTCTTGTGTGTAGTTTGGTATTCTTATATTACAAGAATTTGGATAAGATCCAAGAAGAGAGGGAACAAGGATGGGGGAAAGTTATTAGCATCCTATTATAAACCCTTTGAACAAAATAGGAAGAGATTAAAATTAGTTTAATTATGGAAGTAGATAGGAATGTAAAACTTGACTGAGTTGCCAGATGTGACGCTAACTCTAATTATAAACCCAAAACACCCTAAAGCAGGGGCCCAGATAAGGAAATATTCTTCTTTGCTCTCTTGGGGCTTAGCCTTGCGGTAGATTCCAGGTATTCTGGAAACTGAAAAATTCTGGTCCTTATCTCATGTGACCTTTGATCGACAATCTCATCTCTGCAGCTCAGAAGCCATTCATACTGTATGTATTTGCCAAAGGCTTACCTTGTCAGGGGAGGGTTGTGATAGAGGCAACAAAAGAACAAATAAGAAAAGTCTGGTTTTCCTTGTAGTTAGGTTGAATAGGGAAAAGTTGACGAAGATCACCAAAAGTACCAGTGAGAGACATACCCAAAGTGAATCTTCTAGAACAACCTTCCCTTGTTAGGGATGCTCTGAAGCCCAGCCAGTTGTCAGCAGTATCCATTTCTTTTTATTCAACTATGCTGTCTTTTCTTTAATAAACACACATTATTATGCAAAACCACATTATTTTTGAGTCTATAGACCAAAAATTTAAAGAACTAGGATCACTTTTACATGATTTAAGTTATTGAGTTTCTGAAAATGTAACCCACACCTAGCTAAGCTTTCTGGGGGATATATGAACAACATTATTTTGCAACTGTAATTGTGAACTGCTAATTTTATTTAAATTTTTAGTCATGAAATTTAAAATGAGGCATAAAAAATATGTGAGACAAAGTAGGCAGTTTATATAGTTAAAATCTTGTAATGATCTAGAATGGGCTTCTTTTAGGACCTTACATTAATTTTCTTTAGCACAGATATGCAGATCCAGTGTTTCTAATTCATATAGTTGTCTCTTAGTATTTTAAACTGTTTTTCTTAGGGTTGCTGTAGTAAAACCTTCAACTCTGAGTCCCATACTATAGCTCTTTAAAACAAAACAATTTTATTTTTAAAAAATTTTTTGCTATCAAAATCATGCTTTAAAAAAAAACATGCTAATGGCTAAGCTCTTCAAATTACTCAGCTCTTCAGGTGTCTTGTTAGTTTTTGAATGAATAGAACCCTTCATTCTATGGCTATACCATAATCTGATCAAAGCTTTGACTTTCTAAAATGAAATTTCTGGAGAAAATTTTAGATTCATATACTCCTATGTATATGAAACGCAGAGAGCTGATGTATACCCTTTGCCCTGTTTATCCTAAATGTAACATACTTCAAACTATAATACAATATCACAACCAGGCTATTTCCCTGAAGCTGTCAAGATACAAACATTCCCTCCCCCCCGTGATATAGCCATATGCACTATACTTGTCCCTCCCCTGGAAATTATTCTGTTCGCTGTGTCCTAAATGTTGCCATTTTAAGAATGTTATATAGATGAAATCATATATAATATTCTGGATTTACCTTTTTCACTTAGCATAAGCTTCTCAAGATTTATCCAAATTGTTATATAACAATAGTTCATTCCACCTTGATTGTTTTTAATTTGAAATATTGTGCTAACGTACTGTTCAGTGGCATTAAGGACATTCATATTGCTGTGCTGGTATCATCACCATTCATCTCCAGAACATTTTCATTTTTCTAGGCTAATACTCTGTACTCCTTATAAACAACTGCCACACCACTACCTTCTCCCAGTGGTTATGTTTTTCTCTGTCTTGGAGTTTTGACTACTTGGTTTCGCATGAATAGAATCATATAATATTCAATTTTAATGGCTGGTAAGATAGCTCTGCAGACTAAACACCTGTTTAGGCAAATGCAGGGGCTGGGATTCAATCCCCAGCACATGCCATGCTGGCCCTTACCCCTGGAACGCACTGAACTGGCCACTGAGACCAGGCATGGTGGCATACACCTGTAATTCCAACAAAACTGGAGGAACACTACAAGTTTGAGCTGCGTAGCAAGACCCTGTACCAAATACATTAAAACAACAACAACAGCAAAACAATTTTATATTTGTGACTGTCTTATTGTATTTAGCATAATACTCTTTGGGTTCATTAGTGTTATAGCACATATCACAATAGCCCATTGGGGGGATTTTATATATATATGTGTCTTCACTTGATGGACACTTAGATTGTCTCCCTTTTGGCTGTTGTGAATAATGCCACTATGAACATGTACATAGGATTATATTTATGCCCTGTGCAGTTACTTGGTGATGAATCTGTTTCCCAAAAATTCAACTCATTGTACAGACCCATTTGGCGGGGCCGGAGAGATGGCTTAGTGGAATAAGCACTTCCCTGGCAAGTGCAAGGGCCTGAGTTCAATCCCCGGTTCCACCAAAAAAAAAAAGAAAAAAAAAACGGACCCATTTGGCTTTTTGATGGTAGAATTTGAGGTTGTGTCAGGAATGAAAAGTTATTTAGAGATCCACCAACATACACTTTTCACCCTAAAAAAGAAAAATCTAAGAAGTATTGTTATGCCAACACAAGGGTGATCATTATATGGTCAGGTAAAACAGAGGATTTCATATCCAGCATGAATACATTTAATCCAATTATAAGTTATTTCAGTAAGTTTTCATACTTTGTGGCGAAATGCAGAAATATACAGGATATGTTTTATTTCCTGCCTATAATTAGGAGAAATGAAATTTAAAAAGTCCAAATGTAAAAATAAAACCCAGAACTACAGACATGGAAAGAGGGACCAAAGGACTTGCACTAGCATTTGCTATAACTTCCTGTTTCAAATTGGTCTTTTCCCAAGGGTCTTCTATGATATTGTTTATATAGGTAATGTTGTGGCAGTAAGCATTTGCTTAGTTACATGTGGTGGTGCTTTATACAGCTGTGCATGCAGATAACAACAAACAAAAATACCTAAGCAGCAGAAATTAACATGGCCATCCACAGTGAGGAAAGTATTGTTCTTTGTTCTCCTGTTTCCTTTGTTGTTAATATAATGGAGTGTTGATACTAATTCAGTACCTTAAATGCTACATGCTGCTAGAAACTTAAAAGTATCACTTTAACAGGTAGACACACTGTGTAAGTACAAATTGTGGAAAGTTAGATGTTGACATTATAGTTGGGATAAAGGACATAGTGCAGCCCGTGTGGGGCTATGATATTAAAAAAAACTGCATGCAAGGGTTTTAGAACTAAAAATAACTGAATTTATTTTCTGGCCTTGTTATTTACTGAGACTGTGTACAAAAGAAAAGAAAAACCTTAATTTTCTGATCAGCAAAATGAGGGTGAGACAAGTAGTTCAATGACACGGTTGTCAAATAGGATTGGAATGATTCTGAAAAAATTGCCCAACTATTCAGCCTTCACTAAGTAGTTTTGACCCAGTTCTGAACATACTAAACCAAGCACAGTTACCTGTTGTAATTTAACTCTTTCACTAAACAGAAATGCTGGTAGAAAACCCTAATACAAGGGGAGGGGGAGAAAAAAAGTAGAGAAAGGCCCTTATTTGAAACAGCCCAGATCTCAGGTTGCTACTTAAGACTACTTGACTTGGTAATGCCTTTTAAAGACAGCATTATTTTATTATATAGTGAAATAGACTGGATTTGTCACTAATGACCAAAGTAGGTCCTTGCTTCTGCATTGCCTTCTAAACTCTGGCAGTTATGAGACTGATATAGAAAGGAATTGCCAGTTAAAAAAAAACACCTCAAAAAACTGGTTTCCCTGAGATGTCTCCTGTGGTCTTCAACACTCCAGGTAATGCTCTATACTGAGCTGTCTTTTCAATCGCCATTTATGATGGGTGCTGTGGTTAGCCTTTTTTTTTTTTTTTTCTGATGAGGAAATTGAGGCATAAGGAAGTTCAGCATGTTCCAGGACCCAAGAACTTAATTTTGAAATCTGTAGTCTGCGGTAGGTGGGCTCTATTTTGTCCAGAGCTTTTGTTTTTTAAATTTTCAAAGTAGTTTAGAAAGCTAAGTGAATGTTAGTTGAATCCTCTTGGAGATTAGCCATTTCTGGATTAAATATTTTGCCTCATTATTTGGAGAACAGCCATGCAACCAATATCTAATTAAAATAACATATTTTTTCAGAACCATCTTTTTATCTAAAAATGTCAAATATATTCATGAGTACAGTGTTTTAGTAAATATGAAATCAGTTTTTTTATTCACCAAATAAAAATATACTCAGGAGTTCAGTAAGGAAATTTGAACTTTGTTGTTGTCTTTATCTTCCTTTTCCTGTTTTCTTCAGTGACTGGAAAAGAAAGATTTGTCTTCCTGCTTGATGTGATAAGCATGTATTGCCAAATTTATGCATGAAAACTAGTTTCTAAGAAAGCCCTCTTCTGGAGATGTATAATCCATATACAAATAATTTTCCTCCCTGGATTGCTTGCTTTCAAGCTTTTAACTGCTTCCTTACTTTTATCTTTGCTTATTTGTATTAGTTACCTTTCACTTGCTCTTTTTTTCTGTGCCATTCTTTCCCTTGCTACCCTGCCTAATACTAGGCCCTAGAGAAACAGAAAGAATACATTGCCTGCCTTAGGAATGAGCGAGATATGCTCAGAGAGGAACTGGCTGATCTGCAGGAGACAGTGAAGACAGGAGAGGTATGTTAGCATGAGCTTGGAGCTCAGATCCCTTACTGCTTTACTCTACCTTCCTTCCTTTCATCCTGTCATCCCCTTAAGTAATTTCCCTAACAGAGGTATTTTCTATATAATTATTTCTAATTAGGTTTTACCTGTGGCAAACACATTGTTGCAGTTACCTCACAAGTGTCCCGACTCCATGTGAGCCATCTTTTTTTTTTTCCTTCCACACAGAAACATGGTTTAGTTATAATCCCTGATGGCACGCCCAATGGTGATGTCAATCATGAATCAGTGGTTGGAGCCATTACTGTTGTGTCTCAGGAAGCTGCTCAGGTCTTGGAGTCAGCAGGAGAAGGGCCGCTAGGTAAGACACTGGTTGTATTCTGTCTTGGATTAATGTCATTAGGCTTCAGCTTGTTTATATTCCAGTTTAAAAAGCAAAAACAGCATATAAAGGTCACCTGAGACTTGCTTATATCTTTAAGATGTCTGGACATGCTGTCATCAATCATCCTTGATCTTGCCTGGGTATGAATCATTAAAATAGGAAGCATAGCTGTAAGGCCTGAGTGGAAGTAGTGCGGGTCTGTACATACTATTTTTCACTTAATACAAACTTGCTGCAGAGAGATTTAGTGAGCTCATATTAGTAAGCTGTGGACTGGCAAGATACTTTCCAAGTTGGTTTGTAGGTTCTTATTCCAGGACATCTGGTGTTCTTTCACTTCTTGACCCAGGATTTAGTAGCTCATTGCTTATGGCAAGAATTAGATGATCACCATAACTATCAAAAAGTGTTAACTCCCAGATAAGGGCTTTTAAGCCTCTTAAAAAGTAAACCTTTGAGAATCTAATGACTCCTCTTCCAAGGAAACCACAGAGGTTCCCATTCGCTGCTACCACTAAGAATCCTACTGTAGATGATGAAATGTAGCAGATAGAAAATGTATCACCATCTCACTTTTATTTATGAGGAAATAATATTTTTCTTTTTCTGTTTTATTTTTATGTATGTGTGAGGTACTGTAACAGTGGCAGAAACTAAACAATATTTTAAAAATCAGCACATTTACTAATGTAGAATGCTAGAAATTAATTGTAGATTACTTTGATAAAACAGAATGCTAGGAGTGAGATCTAGAGAATGGAATGAGTACATGGCTATGGGCAGTTCAGGTGTTTCTTTTTGCCTGTTTGGAAGGTGCTGAAAAAAACTAGAACTTACATTTGGCTATAACCTTCCTTAGGTGTGTGTGATGGTAGACCTGATGTCAGCTGCTTCTTTTACTGAACTAGCCATATCTCCTTAACCCAATAGGCCTGTTGTAACACTTCCTTGGGAAGAAGCAACTCTCCACAGGCCAGGAGAAAGCCCTAACAATCTGTTCTCCAGCATCAGATTGCCTTTGGGTGTCCTCATCTTTGAAATGGTTCCCATCTCTTCACCCACTAGCATTTGTGGAACTTGCTTGTTTCAGCATTGTGTTCCTGTATTTTCTTTGCTCTAGCTTCCCCACTCAGCCCTTTTATTCCCTCTCTTATTTTGTTTTGAACACTCTTGCTAAGGGTGTAAGCCTGTGCAGATGCTGTTGGCATTTGAGCTGTCTACTGGTGATCGCTTCCAATGTTTTTAAAGAAAATGGTCTCTTGTGCACTTCAGTTTATCTTTGTGTGGAAAAATCACTGTTCTGTGAGTGGAGCAAATGCATTTGGTACTCTGATAAATATTGGTTGTGTGAAAAGTACATATGGGGTAATTAAATACTCTTCTGTAATATTATTAAAGATCTTATTTTCATTGCCAGAGCTGTAAGTACTTTATCAGATGTACTGATACATATGAGTTTGGGGAATTATTTTTAATTGTTTATGTACTACTGCATTACAAATTTAGTTTGCAACTTTTTTTTTTTTAAGATGTAAGGCTACGAAAACTTGCTGGAGAAAAGGAAGAGCTGTTGTCACAGGTAATGACATCTTCTCATTTGAAGCTATTATTGATTTTGTTAGATTCAGTTAATATTAAATGTCAGTAAATTAAAATGTTGATTCCATTTGGAGATGTGTTTATTTCAAACCTTAGCACTCAATAAGATTAAGTTAAAAAGATCATTCATATTTTCCTTGTTGATAGCTCACATTTTTTCCTTGCTCTTTTAAAACAATTTTATAGGACACAAACTTTGTTGAGACATTTACTTCTATAAAGCTTGCTGTAAAGACAGTAATCTGCTAGTTCTTTTAGCATAACTTTAATGTGTACTGTTTGAATAATTTGCTAATGCTGCTTGTTGTTTTCAGCATTTTCTATTGACAGTCCTCTGTGGAGGATGAGGATATCCCTGCCTTTCACCTCTTCTCTGTCACCCACTTGTGTGTTTCCCATTGCTGTAGCCTCCTATCGAAGGAACGACATGAATTCAGTGTATCTGTCTCCCAGACTCCAAATGCTAGTCACAGGGGAGCCACGTTACATTCTAGGATCAGTTTTCATGTCCTTCACAACCACTAGTTTTCTCTAAAGTTAATATTGTGGGTCTTGTTTTATTTCCCTGATTTCTCTTTTTAAATCAGTAACTTAGGGGCTGGTGAGATGGTTCAGTGGTCTAAAGCACCTACTTAGAAAAAGCTAAGCTAAGCAAAGCACAGGGACCGCAGTTTGATCCCCCAGCACCACATGCTGAGCTGGCCACACACACTAAATAAATAAATAAATAAATAAACAAACAAACAAACAAACAAATAAACAAATAAAATAAAAGAACTTTTAAAAAATAAAACAAATCAATAATTTAGCCACCAAGTTTTGTTTTTTGAGACAGAGATCTCATGTGTTCATTGAACTCACTATACAGTACAGGTTCAGCCTCCAAATTGCTGGGTGGCATGTACTGTCACACCCAGCATCCAGTTTTTTTGTTTTGTTTTGTTTTTTGCTGTATTTATAGTATTTATTTTTCTACAAATGTATGTAAAGTGAAAGGTAAACATGAAAGGTAAAAATCTATATTCAGGATCAGAACAATTGCATAGCTATTTGAAAAAATAAAATGTGGATATTCATTTATTGAATACCCAGCATCCAGTTTTAAACAGTAATTTAAACCCATTCTTAGAGTTTTCACATGTGTCTGTTTTACTGCAAGTTCCACCTGATGAGTCTTACAGCATCTGACTTAACCCATTCTGAACTCATTGCTTCAAAGAGGTGATTGCCCCTTGGCATTGGAGGTTTTTCTGTGATAGGGGTTGTGCTTACTTTTTGTAGTCTCTTGTGCCTTTTTTTCTTTATCTAATTTTGCTGCATCTTCCTTTAATTCCTGAGGAAAGCAATGTGGGCTGTTAATGTTTCATGACCTTAAAGCTCTGAAAGTGTCTTTGTTTTACCCTCTTACTTGGTTGATAGTTTTGAAGGGTATTTAATTCTGAGTTGCAATGATTTTCCTTCAAATTAAAGAAAAAGGTAATCTGTTTATTATTCTCTGTGTTCCATTCCGGTTATTGAGGATTTGAGGGTCAATTTCGATCTTTGTATGTGACAATTTCCCCTTCCTATTAGCTAGAATCCTGTTCTCTTTGTCCCTACTGTTTTGAAATTCACAGTGATGTGTTTTGAAACTTCATGCATGTTACTGGGCCTTTCAGTTTTAGGAGCTCTTATTCTTTAGTTCTGGGAAAATTCCTTGAATTATTTTATTGATTTTCTCCCTTACTGCTATTCAGTCATCAGTAAATTTTAAGTGAAATTCCACTGTTTATCAGTACTATTCTACGCATTTGGAATATTTAAGTAAATAAAATAGTCAAAGTTTCTGCCCCAGTGGACCTTACGTTCTAATGTAAAGAGATCAAAGAGGGCTGGTGAGATAGCTCGGTGGTCTAAAGCACCTGCTTAGGCAAGCTTAGGCAAAAGCTCAGGGACCACGGTTCAATCCCCAGCACCACATACAACACTAGCCCCACCCCCAGGGTGGGCTGAACTGGCCACAAATAAAATAAAATAAAATAAAATGTGTGTTTAAAAATAAAAGAGATCAAAGAAACATAATTAAGAAGTGAATGCTATGGTATGTTAAAATATTTGTACTTACAGATTTAACATGTCTGTATCTCCAGTTATAGTCAGCCTTATAAGGGTGTTCATAGAATGAGGAGAAAGATTTTACCAGCAAGTATAATGAAGTGGATAAAGACACTTGAGAAGATATGGCAAAAATTACCAAGGCACAGTGGGAAGAAGATCGAACCAGTGAATTAGAAGTAGTACAGGAGCAGTGGGATAGAAAGATGTTAGATTAGGGTCTAGAGATATAGTGGTCTAGAAAAATGAGAAATTGTGGTTGGACAGAAAGATACATGGAACTAAGTTACACAAGGCCTGTGTTTATCTAATGACACCTCGTACATGGCTTGCTGCAAATGGCTAGGGGCAAGAAGAGGTAGATGATAAGGTCCTTGGAGGCTTTCCCAAGCCTTCTAGAAACTGAGAACTGAGTTGAAAGAGAGAGCCTGTACTTAAGTGTATACTGAAATTACCAAGAATTGGTAGTCTTGAGGGACTGAGAGTTAGGTTAAATAGTGATGGAGTGTGATGACAGCAAAGATGAAATGTAATGTTTATAACCTGAAGAGATTAAGAACTGGGGCTTCTGGATGGAGGTAGAATACTTCAGCAATAGCAAGGAAAAAGTAAGTGGACATGTGTTCCATTCCCAGGGTCAGTAGTAGGAGGCTGTGGAATTTAAAAAACAGCCAGTGTTTCGTAGGCTGTGGAGGAAGCTTAGTTCTTAGGAGACAGCTTGTTTCTATTAGAGCACTGAGAAGAGGCTTTCCTAGTGATGAGCTGATATCTCTAGGGGCTTCACTGAAGGAGTTTCAGGCATTAAGAAAAGTTAATTAAGTGTATGGTTTGTATAGAGCCTTGTGCTAACAGCGCAGGACAGAATGGCACTTTTGAAATGGACATAATAGCAGTGTTTGTTTGAATAAGGCATAGTTCCCTCAAGGCAGGCAGTGGTACTAAGGCCTTATATGTCAAAAGGGCAGAATTCTGGAAAGAATGGATTTAATCTCAGTGCCAGCCTTCCTTATAAGACCCCTGTTGCTGGTGTTGAGGGCATATGGGAAAGTCACTTGTGTATTTTCAATTGTTATTATGTATAAAAAATTTTCTAATATTTAACTCTCAACAAGGAAGTATAACTTCATGGATGTTTCCATTTTTAGTAAAAGTAACAAAACTCCTCCTGTTCCATACACTACACAAATAACAAAATATAGAGGGTTTTGGCTTGTTTTTTGTTTGGTTTTGAGACAGGGTCTCCCAGTATAGTCCAGGCCAGCCTTGGACTTTCTGTGTAGCCCAGACTGGTCTCAAACTTGTGATCCTCCTGCCTTAGCCTCCCAAATGCTAGAATTATAGACATGTCAACCTGACTGGGTTTTTTTTGTTAGGATACCTGATCCTTGGGCTCAGTCACTTTTGGATTTGTAGAGTTTATCTCTAGTACCTAGAACCCTGTCTCATAGAAGCCACCTAAGAAAATATTTTTTTGAATGAATGATTTGAATGGCTGATAGGATCTGCCTTGTTCCTTGATGTGGCTACTGACCCAAACATCTTCATTTGAGGGTGGATTTTGGTGGTGACTTTTATTTCCATTTCAGATTAGAAAACTGAAGCTCCAGTTAGAGGAAGAACGGCAAAAGTGCTCCAGAAATGATGGTACAACAGGCGACCTGGCAGGACTGCAGAATGGCTCAGATTTGCAGTTCATAGAAATGCAGAGTAAGTATTAAGGGACAGACTAGTCCTTGTCTATGTAAGCTGTGTCCCCAGAATGAGGTAATGGAAGGCTGCTGGAGTCACTAGGGCTATATTTGTTACATACATTAAGTTTTACATTCATGGAGTTTTAGGCCCGGGAGATGGATCAGTGGCATAGCTGGCAAGAGCACGGTTATACGTTGAATCCCCAGTACCACAAAAAGAAAGAAAACATTCATGATTTTTTTTAAATGTATTTAGTACGGGGTCTATAAGGTTTTCACTGCGTAGATCAGATTTTTAGTGATTCTCCTGTTTTTAGCCTCCCAAACACTTGAGATTACAGGTAGGCGCCAACACGCCCAGTCTCAATTGCTATCTCAGTGTGCTCTGGGGGCTGGGCCGGCACAGCACACCAGAGATCGAACCCTGACCACTGTGCTCTGCCTAAGCAGGCTCTTTAGTATGTTGAGCTGTCTGTCTGGCCCTATGTTTTTGTTTTAATGTATTTGGTTGTTGCAGGGTCTTACTGCACACCTCGGACTCATAGTGACCCTCTTGTTTTCAGCCTCCTCAGCACTGGGATTATAGACATGTGCCACCATGAAGTTTTATTTTTTGTTTAGCTAAATATTCTTTAGAAAATTTTCTGTATATAAAAATAATTGAAAATATACAAGTGACTTTACTAGCTTCCCTAAACACCAGCAATAGGGAAAGCCGGTAGCTCTACGACTATTTAAAAAGACTGGCTAGGTCTCAGCTAATGTGAAAAAGCAGACATTAGTCATACAGCTAAGCAGAGGCTCCCCTTGGTTGTGGCTTCAGAGTTGTGAGAGGATAAGTTATTACTTTTACCCTTTCTAGGCAAAGGGATTTCTAGGGACTTTCTGCAAATAGCAAAAATCCCCCCCACCCCAGGTTTTTTAAAAAGTCTTAAAGAGGAAAAAAAATGATACAGAATTTTGAAACAAGATAGGAAATTAACAGTGGTTATTATATTGTGTATTGTCTTCAAAGCAGTTGCTCAATCCTCACAATGTCCTTTTCCACATTCATGTGCTATCTCCCACTACCATGTGGCATCTTTCCCAAAGAAAATTTGTAGAATTTGTCTTGGGTAATTGGAGATTTGGGATTCAAACCAATGTTGAGTGGTTTCAGAATTCTAGAAGTACTGTTTTTAATCTAGATTAATCTTTAGATGGAATTTAAAACAAAGTCACAATTTAAAGTTGAATCTACTTAAGTTCCCCTAAGTTATTCCAGTTTTTCTGTCTTTATACTTTCAACCTATTATTTTTAGGTACCATGCTGATACAAAATCCTGTAGGTATTTCAGCAGCCATCCATACATGGTTAGCTTCTGTTAGCCTTGTGATAATATATGAGGTACATGTAGGGGAAGACTTATTTTTCTGATTTCATGGTAGCTTTTCTGACACACTACTAGAGTTAGCTTTGCGGGTGGCTTCACTTTTAAGATGACAATAACTGTCCTAATTAAATCTCTTTAAAAAAAATACAGCATTTATCATGTGGAAATAGAGAAAAGTTCTTGAGTTAATTTGAGTATTTCCTTTAGTAGGCTGATTCATCTTCTGTAATCATTATTATTTATCACTTCAGAGGGTAATTTTTGTTAAATTTGGGTTCTTAAGAGCAAATTTTTATTTCCTGTAATTTCTGAATTAAATTACTTATTAGTACACTTATCCTGGGGATCCTGTATGTGTACGTACAGCATCTTTTTACTTTCCCTTCTTCCCTCTAGCTCTAGCTCCCCATCCCTTTTACAAAAGGTCCACCTTGGCTCTTATTTTCTTCTTTATAGTTTCTCTTATAAGAGACACCATACAATATTTAAGCTTTTGTGTCTGATAAATTTGACAAAGCATTGTGATCTCAAGGAACATCCATATTCCTATAAATTTAAGTGTATAGTACTCCACAGTATATAGTACCACATTTTCTTTATTCACCTGTTGATGCACACATCTTTACTTTTAATTATTTCTTTTCTCGTCATCCTCCTTTCTTTTTTGTGATAATGGGAATTGAACAGAGGGCCTTCACATGGAACTACATCCCTAGTCCTTTAAGACAGATTGTCTCAAAACTATTGAACCCAATACTGGATTCAATCTCCAATATTGCAGTTAATTAATTAGAATTATTAAAGGGCTAAGAAAGGGTCCCTTTTTTACACACAGTATTTTAAAAATACATGATAAATGTCATGAAAAGAATGAAATAAAGCAAAGGTCAGGAAACCTGACAAGCACCAAGGAGGGAAATGGAAATGAAAATGAGCAGAGTCTTGAAGGCACTTGAGGGATGGAAGATCAGAGGGAAAACCTGAGAGATGGGCAGGTGCAGGGCAGGGTTCATGGAACCAGAGGGCTCAGTTCTGAGATGGAAACTCTGTGGTTCACAGGACTATAGGTAAATTTGCAGGGCTCACTGCTGCCTGACAGGGCTCTTTCTCAAAGTTCTCATACATATCAAGGTGTAGAGAATGACTCAGCCTCAATGTTAACCCAAGGGCTACTGTTGTAACATAAGGGCTGAAGCTTTTTTAGCACTTAAAAGATTATGTACATAATCCAGAACCTGGGCTGCTAACTAATGTTTTTTTTTTTTTTTTTGGTCAATCTTAGACTGCATGGTCCTTCATATGCTGCAGAGGGCATCACTGCCTGATAGCTTCAGCTCTTCCTGTCTGGGTGATAATTCATTATTATCTTCTGTTTTCAGGAGATGCCAATAGACAAATAAGTGAATACAAATTTAAGCTTTCAAAAGCAGAACAGGATATAACTACCTTGGAGCAAAGTGTAAGTACTTCTTCCAGTACCAAGTGATTTAAATTCCTTTTAAAAACCCATCTGTTTTCTAAGTCTATAGTGGCTAAAACTAAGAGTACCTGGATTTCTATGGGCTGCTTCTGCAGCTGAATTTCTAAAAGAGCTCTATATTAAAATGGGAAGGCCAGTACAGCATACCTGGTAAAGCACTTCACAGTCCTTTTCTTTGAAAACATAGGAAATTGTAGCTGCAGTTGTTCTTTGTAGCTATTTCAGAATTCAAGATCATAGCTTAGAACAAAATCATTTAGTGTACATTTCAAAAGTCTAATATACCTTCTCCATTCAGTGAGTTTCCTCCTACAATGCTACTTTGGCACTTTTACAATATAGTCCTCATAAAATTTAACATGGCAAATTGGACCTGTAATGATTATAGCTGTAATCCTCTCTGGGAACCTTTCTTGACTTATAAATAGTAGTTGAATTTAGAGAAGAGCTTACCCCAAGGGGGTTTACCTATGACTCACCCTAGGGGATTTGTTAGATGTGTTGGATTACTTGCAAATTGTAATGAAACTGTGTTTCCATCTTGGCTATCAAATCATGGTAGCAGATGCTAGAAGCTGCTGCTGATCTTATGTTTATAGATTAGTCGGCTTGAGGGACAGGTACTGAGATACAAAACTGCTGCTGAGAATGCTGAAAAAGTTGAAGATGAACTGAAAGCAGAAAAGAGGAAGCTACAAAGAGAGGTACTTGTTCCTGTATGTTCCTTGGGACAGTGCAGTTTTAAAAGATAAAATCCTTTGGAAATAAACCTTTTTTAGTGTGTAAGAAATGTAATTGTGGGCCAAATTTTAAGGAAATAGTAGTGTTGATTCTTAACTTGGGTTGGTCTTGGACATGCAGTGATTGCCATTTACTTAGATGTTTTGGTTAAGCTAAAAAGTAAAAACAATTTTTGTTTCACATCCAGTCTGTTTCTACAATTTCTTGATGTATTTTCTGTGATTTAAGTAGCCAGTCTTCAGGACCATTGTTCACATCTTTAGCTGACTGGAGGGGGAGGTAGGCTGTCCCAGGCAACTAGCAATGCTTCAATTTTCTAGAAAGTTGAGAGTACCAGTTTTGTTTCTGACCATGTAAAATGACTCTGTTCCAACTCCAGTTAAGAACTGCACTGGACAAAATTGAGGAGATGGAAATGACCAACAGCCACCTAGCCAAGCGCCTAGAGAAGATGAAGGCCAACAGGACAGCACTTCTGGCCCAGCAGTAGGATGGTCACCCTTCGGCTTCTGTGCAGCTCTGTGGGGCCTCCCTGGCTCAGTGGGATGGACTTTTTTTGTATATTGACACAAACCCCTTTCAGTACTGTTTGAGTTTTATCATTAAAACAAGCACCTTTGTATTTTATAATTTATGAGAATGAAGCAGGTTTGAATCTTCATGAACAAACACTTTCGTTATTGTTTGTAGCTTTAGTCTAGACTTAAGAACTGGTCCGTGCTGTTTTTATTTTTATTCCATAATTGCAGAATCAAGTTTACTCAGCATTTCCCCCAGCTGCCTCAGTGATCGGGCACTTGGAGACCTGGTCTGGAGGACAGCAGTTCTGAGTGCTGAGACACTTGCTGGAGACCTCAGAAAACACAAGTGCCTTCTCCACAGTGCAGTGCAGACTTCAGTGACCTCCAGCGGGCAAAAGACATTTACTCTGTCAGCATTCTTATTTTAGTGAAGAAGACCACTTCACTGGTGGAGAATCTGTGTTTCACTCAAATTTATGTTTGGAAGGAAAAAACTTTTTGTAAAATATTTAAATTTATATAAGAAAATATTAGGAAAATACATGGGGGCAGTGTATATAAAACTTGCTTTTCTGCATGGGGCAGGGAAGTCCAAGACTTTTACTCTAAAAGCCAGGGTAGAGTCCTTAGCCTTCCATATCCACTGTGCCGTATCTTGTAAAGTATTTTCATTTGCTGCTTATTTGTGAAATAATGGAGGGAGGGGAGGGGAAGGGCAGGGCAGCCAGGTGGGAGAGCTGCCTGAAGAGTCTATTAAACATACACTTTGCCAACCATGATTGGCTACCGACACATTTCTTTTGATATAGCAGCCTTTAAAAGCAAATCATGGCAACCATACCCTTCCTGTCTTGCTGTTCTTCTCTCTCTCAAGGAAAAATAATCTGGAATGTAGAACTTTTCTTTTAAGAACTGTTAATTTCATCTAAAGGCATCCAATTTGAGGTTTATCTTTAAATGACCAAGTTACAGGTATATCCACTTTGCAGGGTTTGTGATGTTCTATTGCTGTCAGAATCAAGATGGTTTTTTGGAAATGATTATGTAGCTTCAAAGTACTTACTAGAAAATATAGTGGGGAAAACTTTAATCAATTAAGACCATTTAAGGTAATACAACTAAACTTTAAACTAGTTAATAAACTCAAAAGTGAATAAAATCTCCAATAATTGTTCCCTTCTTTATAGTAATTACCCTTCATTTTAAAGATACAGAAACCAATCTCCTGAGACGGACTGGCATCCTGTAAATCTAATAGTGGCAACAGTTGTGTGGTGGTGATGGGTGAGAATGTTCTGAAATGCAGATTTAACTTCTCATTCCCTAACTCGAATTAACACACGGTACAGCTCAGCTCTCCCACACCTGGGAGACCAGCACTTTCCCTCTACTCAAGGGCACTGGCCTGTGTACCTCTTGGGGCTTCGAAGCCTCCCCTCAGTCTGCTGCTGGGAGTTTTAACTGCCAGAACCTGATCTTGCCTTTTTTATAGCATGGCGGGTATGTTGTTTTCATTCTGGTGTCCCAGTCTTTTTTCATATGAAATGGCTCCACTCATGCTTTGTTCTTTTCCACAGAACTTTCTTCATTGAGTCCTATTACAGTACTACTTCGGTTTTAATTCTTTTCATAAATCTAGCTGAAAACTGAATAGGAAGAGAATGGAATCACATTTCCCTATAAGGTCAACATTGAACCTAACCACTGAATTTGATTTGTTCTCATCTAGTTCACTCTGTGACTGTACAATGGAAAGAATTATGTTTGTGAACCGCAACACTACTGTACCTGTATTTTAGCTTAAAATCACCGTCTTCCTCTTTGTGCTGAAGGCTCTGCTTCTATCAATGTAGTCTGATATTAAGGTGGCATGTTTTAGCACTTAACAGTTTAAATCTATATACTTTTATATTATTCTTCAAACAAGAACACCCAGAAACTTAAGTGGCTAGTACTCATAGCCAGAAGAGTAGACTTAAAAGTTTAGACTAATTAGAGAATGGATAAGGACTGTTTTCTTCTCTCAGGTTTTTACCTTAGTAAGTTCATTTTGGTTACTCAAGATACAGATTCTTATAGCACTGTCTTCTGACCTTTGCTGTAGAGCTTTGATGTAGTTATAACCTTAGCTCCTACTGAAATTCAGGTGCAGATCTACAAAGTCTGAATTTATCCAGTTATGCCTGGCTTGGGTCTGGCTGCTGTGCTCAGCTCCTTCCTGCTGCAGCCCTTGGGAGTAAACCTATAGTGAACCTCTGGCAAGATGTTCTGCTCCTGGACTAGCTGGGTGGTTCTGTCCCCTATTCTCTCTGCAGGGACTGCAGCTGCAGTTTCACCCCAGGCCTGTATGCCAGGCCTGAGCTAGGTCTGAAGGGGGGGAAGGGGATGCAGGGGAGAGGGGAAGCTCTTCCACACACTCAACGGCCCTGGGCTAGGGCTGGATCTGGGGGGGTCCCAAGAACGCGGCAGAAGTTCTTACTCTGCGGGCATGTGGGGGGATAGCCCAAGATACAGATTTTTAATCCAACCTTTCTCCACAGTTGATGTTAACAGAGTCCCTTACTTGTTCAGGTCTTCTTGTAATAGGTATCTGAACTGACATATGTATTGAGCACTTAATAATAGAACTTTATTAGAATACAGGAAGAATCAAATTAGAGAATCATATAGGAAATCTTCAAGACCTTTTTAGAATTCTTAATGGTGCCTGAAGAGCATTATACTAGATTCCTATTGGCTTTCTGACTTCTTTTGGGATTCTTGAACACAGTCTGGTATATAATAAGCAAAAACAGATCTAGAAAAATTTGCATATGTAATTAAGTTAACATTAAATCATGTTAGGACAAATCTGACAATTACAATCCACTTTGCAGGAAGATATGCTACAACATTAGGATACAGAACAAGAACAAAACACATGTTCAATAAATGATCATATTTAACACCTTTCAAAGACTTTGTATAGATCTGGCAGGTTAGCAAGCTGCAGGACATTTCCATCTTCTGTGAAATGTTTTGGAGGCATAAGATGTGAACGGAAGGCTTTGTAGACAATGTGTTCCACAGTCCACTTCCAGGGGTTCAGAGTGGAACCAGACACTTCACTCTGGAATACATATTAGATGTCATAAGCCTCCCAGCACATACTGGCTTCCTGGCTGATGGGATGGGCGCTGGGACTGGAAATGCTTTGCAGCTTGTAATGGGCTGTGGGGTCTAAAACTTGGGAAGCAGCTTCTGTATACCAGTTTTTTTGAAGCCTAAGGCCTGGACACATGGAACAAGGTGTTTCAGGGAAAAAGCAGTCACTGCTGTATGGAACTATCCCCTATGGGACCTCTGTGTCTGTTCAGGGAGGATGTGCTGATAGTAGCAGAATCTAACACTATCTGATCGTGATATCTGGATGGCAATAGTTGGAAGTACCTAAATTCAAGTAGCCATGTTTTGCTAGAAGCTCAACAGATAAAAAACAAGGATAATTATGCTTGACAGTCCTAAGCATTAGTTATCTTGTGCACAAGAAAATGTTATCTCTTAAGTACAGTTTTCCAATCAAAAAAGATATTCTCAGCACAGAACAGCAAGTGTGCTGCCTTGTCTTTACTGGAGAGAGAAATTTCCTAGAAAAAGTAGCTAACAGGACCTAGGACAGACTCTGCTCACCACCTAAAGGCTCTTGGAATCCATGAGCACACCTCCTGTCCTACAACTTCCTACGGATAGAACTGGAGCAAACCCCTTTACCTCCAGGGATGGCTATAAGCAATCACTAGATGTGATGTGTTTTAAGTGGCTATCCTGTGGTTCTTACATTATTTTTACCCCTTTCTCTCTTACCTGAAATGTGCTGGTTGAAAAACATGATCTGACTATACAAATATTAAGGTTGCTTGTATGCAGCTGACCTGTAAGGGGAGTTACAGAGCCTTGTGCAGTGGTCAGATGAAAGGCAGAAACAAGACTTGGGGGTCTGAACTATAATCTGAAGACTTGGATTCACTGCCTACGAACAGAGCTAGCAGTCTAGCAGCCTTGTACAATGTAACACAGGTTCCCCTTTCACTATAATGGCTTGTGTTTCTACATTTGACAGTTTTTTTAAACCACTGGAGGTATATTTTCTAGACTAGCAGAAGGAAATAAATAACAAAAGCTGGCAACTGTGTTTGAACCTTGTTATATATAGTGATGTGAAAGGCTGTGTGGGGGCCCTTCTCATACAGCCACAGTACCTGCTGGCTTGAGAGGGTTGACTCTTCTGATACATACTGCTTCCGGATGGAGTAAAACATAGCACATTCTTTACTGAGGCTTTCAAAACATTCTTTTTCTTCATCCCAATTTACCTGTTTCAAAGAATGTAATACTTTGAGACAAGTAATACTTTAAACATTTTCATTTTTAAGTGGAGCCACAGGTATCTAAAAATGGAAATGTGGCATTTTAGGCACTAAAAACTACATTAATGAATACTGGTGATGATGGCATCTTCAGGTGTTTCCCCTTGTCAATATGGTTCAGATGGAGGTGGGGTCATGCACCTTCTTCCTGTAGCACCCTCTCTCCCTAGCTACCCTTATTATCTGCTTGATCACTTAGTATGCTTGACTGTTTACCTCTGTAGCTAGTCGAAGGATGAAGATAGGCAGTCCCTCCAAAGGGGGCACATAGTTGTCGATCAGAAGGGGTAATCCAATCAGGTTCCCTTCCTGCATATGGGGAAATGGTCAGAAAGAGGTTAAGAAATAATGCTGTCACAGTTTAAATGAATTATTCCCTTATAGTGCTTCCCTGGGGCCTTGTCCTCAGACGTGTCACTGTAGGATTCTAGGTACTCAATGGGGTGGGCGCTGGGGCCAGAAGAGCTGAGTATTTAAAACAGCTTTTTGTCTTAACGTGCAGCAAACAACTTTCCCTTTGGATCTGCTCACTAATCAAGAATATACCAGGATAAAAATCTCCAAACATCAAGGAGTAACAGGAAGAAACTGAGCAAGTGGCACAATCTTACTCACTAAAGCCTATAAGAACTGTGGGATTCATCTCTCCCTCGTGCCTGGGCCCTTCACCTGGAGGACAAAAGTGGCATGAATGGATGATAGTAGAGTTCTGCAACCTAGAAATGCACATGGGGGGTGCAGCTTCTGGGGGAGGCCTAATCTGCTGGTCCGTATACAGGAATGTAACTCATTTGGAGAACACAACAGCAGTTGCCTCACACCTCATCAATTTCCAAAGAGAAATAGTCTGCCAGCATCTCAGCTTTCTTTTTCAGAAATTCAACAATGTATTCAGCAAGTCCTTCTTTGGGACCATCTTCTTCTGTCCAGCCACTCTCAGGACTGTCTAAGGCGAGCATGGCAAGGTCAAAGAGTGGTGCTGGCTCCTAGGAAAGAACAAGAACCTTAAGGGGCAGTCTTGACAGGATGTCTAAATGCAGCCCGAATCCCCATAAAACTTAGAATAGCTACATTATCAGAACAGAAAATGAAAAACCACAAACAATGTCAATTGGCCATTTGCCTTAAAGGAAATGCCTGAACAATCCACAACAAAATCTCTTTCTTGTCAGTGAGCATTTCTACAAAAGATGTAGACAAATCCGTAGGTGGGCAGTGGCCTAAACCTGTTAAGCTAACTAGGGAAGCTGAGGCAGAACCATCCCAATTTAAGAGGCCAGCCTGGACAACCTAGCAAGACCCTGCCTCAAAAAAAAAAAAAAAAAGCTCAGTGATAAAACCTTTCATTTCAACCTCAGCACCAAAAGTTCCCTACAAACTAGGTAGGCAAGGGTGAATCAATGGGGAAGTAGTATTTCTACATTGCCTTAAAGATACAACTTATTAAATTATTATAATTATTAAACTTATAATTATTAAATTAAATAATATGCAATACATATCCCACTTTTTTCTCAGGTTACTGCTGTGATACTTTTACATATGTTACATAGTTTTTTCATAGTGGAACTCAAAAGGACATAACCTTCAATGTTTATATACCCAAAGCTTTAAATTATTTTAAGAAAAAAACTAAGATAACTGAAGGAAAATTAGCAATTTTCCTATTTAAAAAAAAAAAAATCACAATTACAGTTGGAAGTTTTTATATCCCTTTCCCAATAATTAACAAGTGGAAAATCTGAATATAGATTCCAGCATCACTGTCACTTTGATACACTTAACATTTATAAAAAAATCTAAATTCTTCTCAAGTACACAACACATGAAACGGGTTTAAATAGGTGTCTTTTAAACGGGTTTAAAAGCTGCCTCAGCTTTTAAAAAGGCTTCATGTATATTTTCTGACCAAAGTGGAATTAAATTAAAAATCAGTAATCTTTAGTAAATCCTAAGAGAGAAAACTAAGTTACTCAGTTCTTGATATGGGCACAAGAAGAAAGGCAAATTACAGAGTATTTTGAACTGACTGAAAGTGGTATATCAAAATTCGTGGGAGGCTGATAAAGCAATATTTAAGAGAAATTCACAGCAATTAACACCCATACTTTATTTTTTTTTAATTTTTTTTTTTTTTATTTATTAGAGAGAGAGAGAGAGAGAGAGAGAGAGAGAGAGAGAGTGTGTGGTGTGTGTCTGTGGCCAGCTCAGCCCACCAGGGGGCGTGGCTGGCTGGCATGTGGTGCTGGGGGATCGAACCGTGGTCCCTGATGCTTTGCTAAGCTTGTTCTAAGTAGGTGCTTTAGACCACTGAGCCATCTCTCCAGCCCCAACACCCATACTTTATAAAAAAGAAAGGTTTCAGCAGTAACCTCAGCTTCCAATTTAAGACATGTAAAGCAGAAAACAAAACCAAAATAAATTTTTAAAAAATTAGCAGTTATCAACAAAATAGAAAACAAAAAACCAAGAATAAAATCTATGAAATAAGTTCTTTGAAAGGATTAGTACAATCAACAAATCTCTTACCAGATCAAATCAAAAAAGACTTAAATTGCCAGTATTAGGAAATGGGTTATCCTACCAAAAGTCTCTATGTACTAAAAGAAGAAAAATACTAAAAATTTCTCTGCCAATATATTTGAAAATTTAACTATAGTCAGGTTTATTTAAAAAGCCGGTTTACCCAAGAATAAATAACCCTGAGCAGCTCTGTATATAGTAAAAAAATTGAATCTATAGCAACAACA